GTAAAGTAAATAATTATTACAAAGTAACATTGAATTAAACGTGAAATTCTGAAGCTTTTTGTGTGTGTGTGTACCGGAGTAATGGCTGCTGAAAATTCAGCCTTGCATCACAGGAATAAATTAGATTTTAAAATATATTTAAATACAAAGCAATTATTTTGAACTGTAATACTATAATCATATTTCACAATATTACTGTTTTTACTGTATTTTTAATCAAATAAATGATCATTTAAAAATCTCACTGACCCAAGTTTTTGAATGGTGGTGTATAAACACCCACTACATCCTTTCTGTTCATAAACCCAAACCTTTTTAAACTATTTTTCAAAACTTTATCAAGCTAATTTGAAAAACTTTGCTTTTGTAGTTAAAAGACTGAATTTTTTTTTTATTTGATTTGATTTGAATTTAAATTGATTTGAACTGCACGTCCTTAATTTTGAATTCTGCTTCCTGTTTGCTAGCTCAAATTCAAATGCAAAATCAGAAACTGAATTGGAATTTAAAATGCATTCTAAATTCAGTTCTGAATGGCGCACAAACGCACTTAAAGAGGTTTTCATTTCAGTTAAATTCGGACGCTTTAATCAAATAAATGATCATTTAAAAATCTCACTGACCCAAGCTTTTGAATGGTGGTGTATAAACACCCACTACATCCTTTCTGTTCATAAACCCAAACCTTTTTAAAGCTTTTTAAACTATTTTTCAAAACTTTATCAAGCTAATTTGAAAAACTTTGCTTTTGTAGTTAAAAGACTGAATTTTTTTTTAATTTGATTTGATTTGAATTTAAATTGATTTGAACTGCACGTCCTTAATTTTGAATTCTGCTTCCTGTTTGCTAGCTCAAATTCAAATGCAAAATCAGAAACTGAATTGGAATTTAAAATGCATTCTAAATTCAGTTCTGAATGGCGCACAAACGCACTTAAAGAGGTTTTCATTTCAGTTAAATTCGGACGCTGCTTTTGAAGGCAGTAGGCAGCAGTCGGCAAGGCCAGTCAACAGGTTTTGAAACACAGCCATTGAGCGTTGACCAAAATCAAGTACTTCAAAGGTTCATCTGCTGTTTTAATGATGAACACATCCTAAGAGCATCATTTCTCTCCATATTTCAAACATCTGTTAATTGTTAGGGGACGTGGTCATCTGGCCTCAGACATGAAGTTTAAGAGGATCCAATGGCAAGTGCCAAAAAACACCCACCCAGACGTTCAGTCCTCAACCTCTAAACCTCCTGTATGCTTCCAGACTCAAACATGTCATTTCTTGACTTCTACTAGAAACAGTGGCAAAAAAAAACGAAAATAAAATTAATGAAATAAAGCATTTTCAGTGTTTTCTGGTTCTATGCTGGAGTGAAAAGTTAAAGTGTGAAGGCCGGCTGTTGTCATGATCATCCCGGTCGATAGTGGCAGAAAGAACTGCATGATCAGACATCCGTCACTAAACTGGTAATTATCAAGCGGTCAAACTTCCAAAACGGAGACTCACCAAGCACAAAAACTGAGAAATAAACTGGTCTTGGCAAGTTTTTACTGACCTGCTGGCCCGACTTTTTAGAAACTGTAACATAATGCATGACTTCATATTCAATACATGGGTCAAAGACATAAGGGGGGTTTTCAAGCATTTTTTTTCCCAACAAAAAATATAATTATATCATACAGTTTACCATGATTTACCCAGACAAAAGACTCCCATTAAAGCAGCACTATGTAACTTCTTCTGTGTTCAAAATTTGCAAAATGTATATAATGAGCGAGTACATCATGAATTCATCTTCCAAACCGCGTTTTTGTCTTATTCCGAATCACTATGGTACACTTATAATAAGTACTTATATTTGGACTATTGTAGCCTGGTCGGGTCGTCACCGCTGCGGAGTAACACATACCTGCGTGAATCGCCATAGACATAAACTTAGAGAAGTAGCTCCGGTTGGAATGTTCTTCCGCGGGATGTGTGCAGTTCTGTTTATTAACCGCTAGAGCGCCAAAAGTTACATAGTGCTGCTTAGCTTTAACAGAGTTGTACATACATTTCCCAAATATATGGTAAAGGTATGTCTTATTCCTAAATGAACACATAATTTCAGCATAATATTTCTCCAAGATAAATTAATTCAATAAAAAAGATAATATAATTCTGTTGTTTACATACAAAAGAAAGGAAAAATTGAAATCGCATCATATGACCCCTTTAAAATGTCATTCAGTGTAACGATAGTTCATCCACCAAAAATCTTGTCAGCCATATTTAGAACCAGAATCATTAGATTCATTAAAAGCCCCAAAAACTAATTAACTGTAATTTTCAACCTTTTCCAATCTTTGTCACTATCCTTCAAAATAAGTTTTTAATCACTTAAAATATAATTACATTTAGTATGATCACTTTTGTTTTATATATTTTAATAAGTACAGGTCAGATGTTGTTTTATTTTTACATAAATATATCTGTTATGCTGAATAAAGATGGAACATTATTTCACCCATATTTTGACATTTTATTTTCACAAAAGTTATTTGAAACATTTAATTAGACACTTTACTTGCATTTAATGTGCTTTCTATGTATATAAAATCACTTTCTGTAAATTTAATTTGATGCGAACACCAAAATGGGTTGTCTTGTCTTTGACCCACATACATGATTTAATGCATTACTGTATAAGAATGGCAGTCTGATGCAATCCTCCCTGTTATGTTTTAATCTGATGCAAGCGAATACAAATCCAAGAAACACAAATCTTGCGAAACAAAAACACATTTAAGGAAATGTTGCAAAATACAGTGAAATTCTCAGTTCATCCTCCTTTGGTGTGGATGACATTATATTGTACATTAACTGAGCTTTTATAAGAGACTGACCAAATGTATGCAGTTTGTTTACACTATCGTTCAAAAGTAGGGTCAGTAATATTTTTTTTTAAATAAATTAATACTTTTATTTAGCAAGAATCCGTTAAATTGATCAAAAGTGACAGTAAAGGCATTTACAAATGTTGCAAAAGATTTCTATTTCAAATGAATTCTGTTCTTTACATTTTTTCCCCCACGAACACATGAGACAGCACAACTGTTTTCAACACTGATAATAATCAGAAATGTTTCAGCATATTAGAATGATTTCTGAAGGATCATGTGACACTGGAGCAATTCAGCTTTGCATCACAAGAATAAATTAAATTTTTTAATATTTTAAAGAAGAAAACAGTTATTTTAAATTGTAATAATATTTCACAATATTACTGATTTTATTGTAATTTTTTTACCAAATAAATACAACTTTAGTGAGCATTAGAGATTTTTAATCTCTAATTTAAAAAAAAAAAATCTTTCCAACCCATAACTACATGAAATGTAGTTTATTTCAAACAGTGGCTACTTTAAAATGAGCGTTTTTTTTTTTTGCTTTCGGTTTTCATCACAGTTTCTTTGATTTCATTTAAAATTTTAATTTGGGATCATCACTAGTTATGACTAATGTTTTCTGCAATCTACACTTATTGAAAACCATACAGTAGACAGTAGAATGAGAGAAGTGTTATGTTTGGATTCCACGCTTCTTTCCACAAAGTTAGATTTTAAAGACTAACTTTCCATTTTAAACGACAGATGCTTATGTTAAAAACCATCAGTTTCAAAGTGAGCAGGGAAAAATAATTAGAGGAGTAAGTGGGCAAAGTGCGGAAAATGTAATTATCGTGATGTATGAGCAACACATTTGTATAATTCAGACATTATGATTAAGCAGCCAAAGGGTTGAGGTCTGTGATGAGTCTGGCTTTATTTCGCTACAATGTGGGGACAAAACCATTCCCAGAAGTGAGCCCAATCTGACCAAACCATTTCTTGAGGACAGTCTCTGATTCATTAAATAAAGTAAATTAAAGAACACTGTTCCTTAGGGCCTTTTCACACTGAACGATCACACTCAGCGAGAATGTCCTGCACGATGACGCTTTTGAATCGAAACAATAGATCCCTATGGGGCTATTCACACCAGTCAGAGCGCGTTCACTCTAGATCTGTCAATCATGTGATCATATCTCCTGCCCTGCCGTATATTCAAAAAAATTGAGAGAAACATTTTTCTACACATGAAATGTGACCCTTGACCACAAAACCAGTCATAATGGTCAATTTTTCGAAATTGAGATTTATACATCATCCGAAAGCTGAATAAATAAGCTTTCCATTGATGTATGCTTTGTTATGATAGGACAATATTTGGCCGAGATACAACTGGAATCTGAGGGTGCAAAAAAGGGTGCAAAAAAATCTAAATACTGAGAAAATCCCCTTTAAAGTTGTCCAAATGAAGTTCTTAGCAATGGATAGTACTAATAAAAAATTAAGTTTTAATATATTTACAGTAGGAAATTTACAAAATATCTTCATGGAACATGATCTTTAATTAATATCCTAATGATTTTTGGCATAAAAGAAAAATCTATAATTTTGACCCATACAATGTATTTTTGGCTATTGCTACAAATATACCCCAGCGACTTAAGACTGGTTTTGTGCTCCAGGGTCACAAATATGAATGCAAATAGACATATGATTATGACGATATATTTTCTGTATGTGTTTTTTATGCAGCTCATGGTATTTTTATAACAATAAAGGATGTTTATGACAAATGATTAGTGGGTGTAGCGTTCAATCCATTATAAAACATACAAAGAGTCCATGTCTGTCTATTATAGAATCAAAATCCACTTCAGATCCCAATCGGAAGTTATTACAAGCACTCGATGAAGGTTTAAAGTGGGTTTTTGAGTAAAAACATTAAGCGGACGATGTTAAAGCCGCATGAATACATACATGAGGAGAAATGCATTGTTGGTCGGCATGCAGGCGTGAATTCGCAGAAGGCGATCAATCACTTCTTGCTCAGTGTGAAATGGCCTTTAGGGTGCAGGTTTGGGTTTTGTCATTCAGACAGCTTGGCAAATGTGTGTAAATGTTGCGTGTGTTTCTTACCGCCCAGGTCTTGCTCAGTCTAAAGATGGGAGCGCTTTGCAATGTAGACACCACCGACACCATAGAATGAAGGTTATTCAGCTCAAGAAGTTTCTGCAGACATAGAAAGCAAGTGATGAATTGCTATACAGTTCAGAAAACTCAATGCACAAACCACAAAAAGGGTGTTTTTAGAGCACAAGAGAGAGTAAACACTGCAAAAAAACATGATTTAATCTGGTTTTCCAGAACAAATATCTAAACATTCTTCATCATCATAAATCACTTACTTCTACATTTACTTCAGAAGTAAAAGTACTTAACTCTTGTGCTGTGCTGAAAATCCTTTACCTAATTGTGAACCTGGACCACAAAACCAGTCATAAGGGTCAATTTTTTGAAACTGAGATTTATACATCATCTGAAAACAGGACAATATTTGGCCGAGATGCAACTATTTGAAAATCTGGAATCTGAGGGTGCAAAAAAATCAAAATATTGAGAAAATCACCTTTAAAGTTGTCCAAATGAAGTTCTTAGCAATGCATATTACTAATCAAAAATTAAGTTTCTATATATTTACAGTAGGAAATTTACAAAATATCTTCATGGAACATGATCTTTACTTAATATCCTGATTTTTGGCATAAAAGAAAAATTTATAATTTTGACCCATACATTGTTTTTTTGGCTATTGCTACAAATATACCCCAGCGACTTAAGACTGCTTTTGTGGTCCAGGGTCACAATTTAGAGTTGCTGGTTTAAAAAGCATTAAAAATTGCTTGTAAATCTCTCATTACGCTGTTATCACCAAATCATGGTTTTTGAGTGAAAAAAAGCATTATTTGTGGATCATTTTGGCAAAAACTGAGGTGCATGAGCCCAGATCAACGCGGCCTGCGATCAATCAGTTTAAAAAACAAATACAAAACCTGTGCTAAGTGAAAGAAAACAAGCTGACAAAAAAGACTGAATCCAATATTTGATTATATTATAGCATAACAAGAATTTTAAAAGCAATTTTTTGTAGGCCGGTCATTTTTGACCAGGAAGACCTCAATTGTAACATGGTGGCGAAACAAAAAAAGTACAAAAATTATAAACAATTTGGGGAAGTTGTTGTACCCTGTGTGAGCAAAGCATTACTACAAAACATTAACTAGCTTTGGGAAAAAAATAAAATCTGGAAATGACTTGAACATGAGGGTTAAGATATTTCAAAAAGACAAAAATGAGGCGAGTTGTGCTTAAAACAAGGGGGGGGGGGAATCTGCCAATGGGGTCAGAAAAATGGGAACACAAGTTTATATTTTGACCCCAAAGACAGACATTTTTTATTTTACGCAAAAAGATTAAGTTTGTTTAGATTAAATTTATATGGCAATCACCCATTTTACTGGTTGCATTATATTATGTTTTGCTATTAAACATGAAAAGTTCTCACTTCAGAAATGGTTGGGTTGCAATTTGTGAAAACACAGAAAATGCACTTCTAATGAAGCAGACATGTACTACTGTCTGTTTGTTAGGTTAGATGATGTCACAGCTAGCGCCCACACTCAAAACTCCCTTTACTGCTCTCTGATTGGACGCCATCTACTAAAAGACAGTGACCTTCAGTAAGATACAGACCTGCTTTCATCATTACTCCCACAATGAAGACCCAACAAACTCTAGAATGATGGAAAACTGCTTTGGGCTCGCTTCAGCAAATTTGGCACGCCTGGATCCACTCCATGACACATGATGACTACAATCTGAGGGGTGGGGGGGGTCAGCTTTTGTTCTGTCAGCAAGTGTTCCTCTGAGATTTAGTCATGAGATTTCTGAAGGATGATATTCCAGCCGCTCCACTGACGTGGCTTGTTTTGATGAGTTTACTGAGATGAAGACAGTACAGCGAAGGGCTCTTCAACTGCTGTCTTTATCCAGATGAAGGGTGGGCAAACATTTGACAGAGTAATTATCAAGTTTAAGATGAAAAACAAAACCAAACTCTTCATACTGTGTGTTCAATTGCATTAAAAGTGAAGTGTGCAATTGCTGTGCCACTAGCGTATTTCCAAAAATAATAACAAAGTTTTAGTATCAGCATATTAAACTGTGACAACAGAAAGCACTTTGAGAAAATTGCAAATGTCACTTTTTTAAAGGAATAGTTCACCCAACAATGACAACTTGCTGAAAATGTACTCACCCTCATGCCATCCAAAATGTAGATGAGTTTATTTCTTCATCAGAACAGATTTGGAGAAATGTAGTTTTACATCACTTGCTCATCAATGGATGCTCTGCAGTGAATGGGTGCCGTCAGAATGAGAGTCCAAACAGCTGATAAAAACATCACAATAATCCACAAGTAATCCACTCCAGTCCAGTCCATCAGTTAATGTCTTGAGAAGTGAAAAGCTGCATGTTTGTAAGAAATAAAGCCATCATTAAGATGTTTTAACTTTAAACCGTCGCTTCAGGCCAAAATACGAGTCCATAACCATAAATTCCTCCAGTGAAAAAGTCCATCTCCTGTTGTCTCTCACATCAAAATCCACCCACATATTTGTTTAGAGCGGTTTTGGGCTGTTTTTGCTTGTAAACGGTGCTTGATCTGTGCAGACTTCTCTCCTGATTCAGACCAGATGACCTTTTCACTGGAGGAAGCATTATTATGGATAGAGGACTCATATTTTAGCCAGAAGCAATGTTTTAAAATTAAAAAGGTCTTAATGGTAGATTTGTTTCTTACAAACACGCAGCTTTTCATTTCTCAAGACGGAGGACTGTAGTGGTGTGGATTACTTGTGGATTATTGTGATGTTTTTATCAGCTGTTTGGACTCTCATTCTGACGGCACCCATTCACTGCAGAGGATCCATTGCCAAGCAAGTGATTCAACGCTACATTTCTCCAAATCTGTTCTGATGAAGAAATAAATTCATCATTATCTTGGATGGCCTGAGGGCGAATATATTCAGCACATTTTCATTTTTGGGTGAACTATTTCTTTAAACTGTGGTAGAAGAAAGTACAATAACCTTAAATACAAATATATAGCACATACCGAACCGTACCGAAACCGTGACTCTAAAACCGTGATACAAACCGAACCGTGAGTAAGTTGAACCGTTGCACCCCTAATAGACAGTATTTTAAGACATCATAGACTGTTCCAAAAATGCTGTCTTCAAAGATACCTAGATGTGGCCAAATTCTAAAGCAGCACTGCATGATGGGAAATCATCACACATCATCATACTGTATGCACTTTCAATAGGCAGATTAGTGATCTTTCTTAATAGTTGTACTGTTTTTGTATTGATACAATAAGAATATGATTTTGTAAACAGCTGCTCATTAATGTACCTTTGCGATCTTGATGAAGTGGCTCAGGATCTCGGCACGGATCTTCAGGGTTTGAGCGGTCAGGATTTCCCGTACCAACCAGAAGCTCACCTGAAGCATAAATAAATAATAATTAACAAAAGAATGATCAAAACCAAAATTTGAAAACCAGACTGAAAAAGAATGAGAGAGAAAAGCAGAGGTCACGTCACAGGACAGCAATAAGTCAACTTTTCATCTGCGGTTTAAACTCATGACTCAACTGGAGTCAACCCATATCTTGTGGAAAACCCATTTCTGATAGACAAAAACAAAAATGCTGGAAATAACTGAGATGGAGAAAAAGTGTTGTTATGTAATGAGTGAAAAATGATTATAATAGTACGGCAAACACAGAACTCTGGGCGCACAGACTTCGCTTGGCAGAGGCTCCAACGCAAGCAGATGCCAAAAAAAAAAAAAAAAAAAAAAACAAAATTAGAAAGCTGGTGAAGCCTGAGTGAATCTGACCGTAGTAAATAGTTTAAGATTTCGGCCTCAGGGAACCGTTACAACATAACGGGAGTCAGGTAACAAACCTCAACAATTTCCTCAAAAGCGGCCTCGATTATATTTCACACAAGGGGAATCAAACTCAAGAAACTATTTAATGTCTGACAAATAATTAGAAAGAAATTGGCGCTCTTGAATAAAGCAGGAACGTGAGTCATTGCATGTGTAAAAAATATTGCAAGTTGTAAATGAAACAAAGATTATTGGAATACGTTTTACAAGAAAATACTAGTTGAGTCTTTCTACTTTCAGGGTGTTTTGGACAGTATATGCATGTTATGATGGAAGGGTGATCTTCCCAAATAATTAGCAAATAAATTGAAATTTGAAGGGATACTTAATAAAACAATCTGAATGATTTGAGGGAAATAAATAAATACATT